GTTTTTGATGGCTGCATAATATTCCATGGTGTATATGTGCCACATTTTCCCTATCCAGTCTATCGTCGATGGGCATTTGGGTTGGTTCCAGGTCTTTGCTATTGTAAACTGTGCTGCAATGAACATTCGTGTGCACGTGTCCTTATAGTAGTCCTCTGCCTTTTTGTTCTAATCAGGCCCTCAGTGAATTGGATGATGCCCACCTGCATTTAGGGTGGTCTTTACTCAGTTTACCAATTGAAATGCAAATATTTTCTGAAAACACCCTCTCAGACACACCCCACAATAACATTTTACAAGCTACCTGGGTATCCTTTAGCCTAGCCAGGTTGACACATAAAGTCAACCATTGCAACATACATAATATATAATATAATATAATATAATATAATGATTATCACCATGTGTTAGTTTGCTAGGGCTGTGGTAACAAGTGGCCACAAACTGGGTGACTTAAACAACAGAAATGCATCATTTCACAGTTCTGGAGGACGGAATTTCAAAGTCAAGGTGTTGGCAGTGTTGGTTCCTTCTGAGAGCTGTGATGGAAGGATCTATTCTAGGCTTCCATTCTTGCCTTGTAGATGGCCATCTCCTCCCTGTACCTCTTCAAAATTTCCTTCTATTTTTGTCTGTCTCTGTGTCCATATTCCCCATTTTTATAAAAGCACCAGTTGTCATTCAGCAGTTTGGATTTGAGCCCACCCAAATACCTCATTTTAACTTGATTATCTCTGTAAAAACTATCTCCAAATAAGGTCACCTTCTGAGGTACTAGGAATTTAGACTCCAATATGCATATATATTTTATGGGTGGGAGGAAGACACAATTCAACCCACAACACACCACTATCATCCATAATTACTTTCATTCCATAGGCTGAGGCATAGAAAATCTTCTGGTGTTTTTTATCTCCAGTTGTGTGGCTTCCAGTAATATTCACCTTAGTGAGGTAACAGGTGGCAGCAGAGAAACATCAAGTTCCATTTTTTTTGGCCTGTAAAAGGAAGATCATTTTGGCTTGGTGATATTCCCTGCATTAAAAATAATTTGTATGTTTGTAGAATGATTTAGTTTGAAAAAACTTACTTATGCTCATTTAATTAATCCTTATAATCTCTCCTGCTGAGATGAAGAAATTTTGTGTCTCAAATGATGATTTGAACAAAATAGCACAGCTATCGAATCCAAAGGATTGTTTCAATTCAGTGTGTATAACTTCTCATTCAGTGTTTTCTTTCATAACAGAAAATAGACTCCATAGTCCAAACCAAGCTAGCTGCTATTGTGTTCACAAAGAAATGTGACATTCCATAAATTGTGCTGATCTGAGACCTACTGACTTGTGTGAAACATTTTTTTCTGAATATAGTTACCACAAGAGGTCGCTGTTGCAACAAGCTGCGTTGTAAAGCATGACCCATTTATTTTCATTTCTGTACAAGGTGTTCTAGTATCTTCAGGTCTCTCTTAAAAACCACTTTTCTCCTTCACTTGTTACTGAGGAAAATCTAGTTTTTATTTCATGACTTGTGATAGCTCCTCTGTTAAAATGTTACTGGAAGTCATCAACACTCACTGATTTTTTTTTTGCATGGGAAAATAGAAAAATTGCGGATTCAGAATGCTTTCAGCAATTCTAGACCTAGAAGAGGCACCTCCCAAATATTTTCCAGTGATTGTTTCCCCAACCTTATAGGAGAAAAGAACTCAACAACACAACATTATCTTTTCCACATTAATGTATCTAACATGTTTTGTTTGTAGCATTTGGTTGATTCAATGAATACTACTGTCTTTTTTGCATATGGCTCTTTTCCTGAATGACTGTTTTTTTCTTTTCAATTTTTGTGCTTCTGATATAGAATTTATACGAAGTATTTCTTGAGGGAAATGTGTATGCTAACTACAAAAAATTAGATACATAATCCTATACAACTGCCTTCTACCAGCCATGGTACTCTGCACCCTGAATCAGATGAGAAGAAAGGGAAAGGAACTACAGTTTGCTGTTGACTACCTGCTACAGGTTGACCCTGAAATACATATTATTGTTTACATTTTGCAGATGAAGAAACCAAGGCTCAGAGGAGTGACCTGTCCAAGATCACAAGGTGGCATTAGGTCTGTCTGAGTCGGCCTGTGCCTTTTCTTCTTGGTCACCTCACGTCCTCTGTGGTTAGGTGAGTGATTCCACACCAAATGTCCTATCCTAGCTGGTCATTAGGGACCAATGAGGGGGTTGTTCCTGTTTAGTGTCTGTCACACAGGGTCTGAGAAGCAGGTATTAGCTGTGGACTTGGTGGGATTATAAAGAATCCCAGGGAATCGTGAGATGGTAGGTTCAGTCCAGACTGCCTCATGTGCTCTTTCTTGGGATAGGATTAGGATTCCCTGTTTCTTCTTGGCTAAATAGGGGTCAATGGAGCATTGCAGGGCATAGGTGTACCAAGTCAGGCAGGTTACGCTTAGAACATACTGTCAATGAGTCCATGAGTGTCAGACCAACACAGTAGATGACCACCTGCTGGGGCTGTGGACAGTAACGTAATGGGGAATAGAAGTCCAGTGGAATCTACCCTCTCATAGCATTGCCTCATTTAGACCAAATCTTTAAGGGATTAGCCCTCTGCAAAGATCTAAAATGAAATTCAGGCTGTTGTGCTTCAGTACCAGTAGTTTTTGCTCCCTACTCTTCTTGGGAGTTTATTTGAACTTCGAGGGGAGCCCCGCTCTGGGGAGCTGCTGCCCTGCTATTGGGTGCTCTCCTAGGACAGCCCTGAGTGACAGCTGCTGGCGTTGGCCCTGGCAGTTGCTGCTGGGCTTACTGCAGCTCAGACACAGCAGAAGAGCCTAGAACCTGGGTCCTGGTTTGCACCTAGAATATGAGGCAAGTGGCAAGAGTGATCGTGTTCCTGACCCTGAGTGAGTTATTTTGGGATGGAGAAGAATGGGATCTGGGCCTGATGATGCCGGAAAGGAATCTGTAACTCTGCCTGCTAGCAGTTGCTATTTATCTAAGATGTAGAGGGATCGCTTCAGGATCCCATTTTTCTCCAGGCAGCTCCTGAGCATTTATGTGAGACGTGTCTCAGGGCAGCAAAGATTTTCTTGGTTTCTAATCCCTAAGATCTGTCCATTGGAGGGAGAAAGTAGACCTAACATTTCTGTGTATGTTTTCATGGGCCTCCCTGGGATAAATATAAATGATACTTTTGTATTAAAACATAAATGAGAAGTAAATTGCATGTGTATGCACACAGCAGGGAAATAGAGTGTGGGGGTGGATTTGACTGTGAGAGGGAACCGTGCGGGTGCTGAGTGGGACTGTCTAACTCACCTTGGTTTCAGGACAGGACTTAGGATTGTGTTTTACTCCCATAGGTACTTGGAGCCTTGCTAAGACCACCCAGCCCATCTCCATGGACTCATATGAAGGACAGGAAGTGAACATATCCTGTAGCCATGACAACATTGCCACAAGTGATTACATCTTCTGGTACCAACAGTTTCCCAACCAGGGACCACGGTTTATTATTCAAGGATATAAGACAAACGTTGCAAATGAAGTGGCCTCACTGTTTATCCCTGCTGACAGAAAGTCCAGCACCCTGAGCCTGCCCCGGGTTGACCTGAGCGACACTGCTGTGTACTACTGCGTCGTGGGTGACACACAGTGAGACAGATGGGCTTGCACCTGTACAGTTTTCCTCTGTGGGGTGGGAGTCACAGCCTAGAAAGAAGTCCAAAAAATGCTTTGTGAGGTTTTTGTTTTCAAAAGATATTAGCAAATGTATGTATTCTCCTATTTATAAAATTGATCTTATTTATTTTTAAAATAGGTATTTCATTTACATGATCTAAAACTGAAAAAGTATAAAAGGGCATACCGCATGATGTCCTCCTTCCATCATGGTCCCTGAGTACTCAATTATCAAAGTGAGGTGTCTGTGGTATCTATACTATTGTTGCTAAGTTCACTGGTACTCCTTAGTTTGTGTGTATAGATAAACACACACTACACGTATTTTATATGCACACCACATATGGTCAACATGGGTAATATACTTCTTACCTTTTGAAACATTTAGCCTAAGTCAGGTTATTATTTATTGCTGCACACATTTGAACATTTCTCTGGCCATTTCCAAGTATCTACAAGCTGGTTTCCATGCACTCCGAGTTTAGATTTCTCACTCTCTCTGTTGCCTGTCTTTCTCTTTTCTTTTGTCCCACTTCTCTGTTGTGCATGGTATGTAATGGAAGATGGACCTGATGGTAGAGGAGGGGATGGGAGAGAATTTGTTTCTGATTTGCATTGTAGACTATTTTTGCAACATCTTAATCAGAAACATAGAGGTTCCGGGTCGTTATTAGTTTTTAAAGTTGGGTTTTTTGAGGTCCCAAAGAGATAAGAATAACAGAAAATTTACTGGGAGTCCTGCTTGTGTTCCTGCTGCTTCATGAGGATCATGAAGTATGTTTTTGTTTATTTTTGGTTGAAAGTTTTCCCTGATTTTGATCATAGGGAAAGCAGTATTTGATAATATTTTCTATTGAGAATAAGATCAGGCTATGCAGTGGGAGGCAGTTTCCATCTAGTCCATCTGAGGGTTTTGTTGAGAGTAGTATTGTGGAAAGAAAACAAACATTTGTAGGGTATTACAGCATATACACTCATCTCCTTTGGCTGACTTCTCTACACAGGGACAAGGAGACTGCAGAAAGTGGAGTCCTGGTCACCAAATGTCCAGGATGCAACTAATTCTTCTCTGAAGTGCATCACTATTTCTAGTACTTCATGTGGTACAGACAATATCCTCAAAAAAGGCTAGTGTTTCTGATTTTCACATTCTCAGTGGAGGAAATGAGGAAGAGATATTATAGCTCATTTGAATAAAGACAATAAATACACCTCTTTGCACAAAACAGACCCAAAGGCTGCAGACTCCGACACCTACATCTTTGTGAGAAGCTCAGAGTGATTCTAAAATTCCTGGATAGCCTCTGCCCAAAGCTGCACTCCTGTCATGAGAGTTGAGAGAGTGGAGTAGAGGGACATCTCTGTCATGTTCCTGCCTAGTTATGAAAATCAATACCCATATCTGAGAGGCCGTGTGGGATTATCTAAAGAAGATAATATGCTATTTTGTAGATAATTGATCTGCAAAAGAATTAAAGGTAGAATATTGGATTGGGAAATTTCAAAATGTTTTCTAACCACTGGGAGTTCATTCCATGCCTGCTCCTGGGATCTTGGTTGGATGATGCCTTTGGGGTAGCCCAGAGGAAAAGATCTGTGCTGTGGAGATGGAGAACCAGGGATTGGTCCAGGTTCTTTCAAGGAGGTACTGACTATGAGAAAACAACACAACTATCTTTTGTTTCAAGATATATTTTTATGGACAGGCATCTGCATGTTAGCTACTTTGGAAGAAAGAGTTTAATGGCCACTGAAGGATGGTAGAATGGGAACTCTAATTCTAGTTGTACTTTATTTTTGCTACATGCTCTGAGCAGCAAAACATACTGAAAAAATAATCAGCTCTAAAGCCAGGCATTCCTGGATTTGAATCTGAGATCTCCTGCTGTAAGAGTTTCACCTTATTCAAATACTTTTGGCATTTGAGCTTTAGTACTTTGCCTATAAAATGGGGATCATAATACTATTTTCCAGATATCTCAAAGAACCAGAAGTATAACTACTATTTGATCCAGCAATCTCACTACTGAGTGTTACTCAAAGAAAAAAAATCATATCAAAAAGATACCTACACTCATATGTTTATCACAGAAGTATTCACAATAGCAAAGATATGGAATCAACCTAATTGTCCATGAACCGATGACTGGAATAAACGTAGTATACAGATGCAATGGAATACTATTTAGCCATAAAAGGAATGAAATCCTGTCTTTTGCAGCAACATAGATAAAACTGGAAGCCACTGTCTTAAGTGAAACAACTCAGAAACAGAAAATATTGTATGTTCTCACTTATAAGTGGAAACTAAATAATGTGTACACATGGACACAGAGAGTGGATAATAGACAGGAGAGTCAGAAGAGTGAGAGGGTAGGAGGGGGGTGAGAGATGAGAAATTACTTTAGGTACAATGTACATTATTCAGGTGATGGCTACACTGAAAGCCTAGACTTTATATTCATGTATAAAAAATGCACTTGTATCCCCTGAATTTATACAAGTTAAAAAAAAACCAAACAAACCCATTGGTTGATTCCTGAGTTGTGCATGCATAAGACAAGACTCTAAGAAAGTAAGTAGAAAATAATAGATGGCTGAGAGAAAAGATTTTAGCAGTTACCCTGCACTAGGGAAATGGAATTGGGAATGCAGGTGCTGCCAAATGAAAGAGGTGTGGTAAATACCTTAGGCTTTCTAGTGAAAACCCAGAACGACCATATCCTAGAAATAAGGACAATACTCTGTGACTGAGGGGTATACCCTACAACTAGGGCTAAACCCTAGAACAAAGACATTTAACAATAATGCTGAGAATGTTATCAGCAGAACTATACTTCAAAAATTATCAAGTATTTTTGTTAGGTGGTTTTTTGACTGAAGGGAAATGATATCAGATGGAATTTCTGACCCAAGGAAGTAATAAAGAACGTTAAAAATAGTAACTATGTGGATACATTAAAAAAGATTACTTTTCTAAATTTTCAAAATACAGTTGACAAATGCAAAAAAAAATAGCAGTCTATTATACAACCAATAACATATATAAATAAAATCAACAGCAATAACAAAAAAACCTGAAGGAGCAATAGGATTAAGCTGCTGTAAGACTCTTGCATTATGTATGAAATAGTGTAATATTAATTCAAGAGAGAATCTGATAAACTAAGAATGCATATGATGATCTATAGATAAACAATCAAAAAACCAAAGCAAAAAAGTTTAGCTATAGCCAATGGGGGAAATAGAATGAATAAGTATAGAAACCTCTCAAATCAAAAGAAGAAGGAAGAAAGGGCATATTAACAAAGACTAGAGGAAAAACATAGAATATGGATTATGATTGTGGATTCAAACCAAATAAAAATAATTACATTAAATATAAATAGCATAAACATTCCAAATAAAAGGGAGATATTGTCAAACTAGATAAAAAGACACAATTATATGTCATTCACAAAAAATGTACTTGAAAGACAAAGGTAAGTTGAAAGTAAGAGGCAACGTATGCCAAGCAAATAGCAACCATATGCCATGCAGTTAGTAACCATAAGAAAGCTATGTGTCTCTATTAATATTGAATATTTCAGGATGAAGGGTGTTATGAGATAAAAGGATTATTTAATCATGAACAGAGGGTCACTTGATCAAGAAGATATAATATTCTCTAAATGTTTATGTACTGATAGCAGAGTTATAAAATATGTTAAACAAAATTAACAGAATTAAAGGAGAAACAGGCAAATCTGTAATCAGAGTTGGAGAATGTAACACTCTTCTCTAAGTAATTAATAGAACAAGTAGACAGAAAGTCAGTAAAGATATACAAGGCTGGAACAACCAGCTAGATATAATTGACATTCGTAGAGCACTGTATCCACCAAGTGCACTGTATATATTCTTTCCAAGTACGCATAGAACATTCATCAAATAGACCATATTTTTAGATATAAAACAGTCTCAATAGATTTGAAAAGATTAGAATCATACAGTTTTCTGACCACAATAGAATTAATTTAGAAGTCAATAACAAGGTATACAGTAGAAAATCCCCAAATACTTGCAAATTAAGCTATATACTTCTATGTCACCCATTGATAAAAGAAGAGTTTACAAGGAAATTTAGAAGATATTTTGAACTAAAAAATGATAAAATTTAACAGAAAAATTCTAGGTTCAGAAAGCTTCAAAGGTGAGTTGAATAGAACAGTTAATGAAAAATTAATTCTAACCCAACACAAACTAGAAAATCGAAGGAGGGCTGCCTGGTCCCATCTGTAAGTTATCCACATTGAATCATCAGCATCAGCATCAGCATCAATATCACTTTGGAATTTGTTAGAAATGGAGAGTCTTAGGCCAAACTCCAGTCCTGGTGATTCAAGATTTGCATTTTAGCACAGTTCCTGAATTTGTACCTTTTTGCTCAGCAATGTGGTCCTGGAGTGCTGAAGTAAACAGAATGATGAAAGGAGGTGGGGAAAATAGTTTTTTCAAGTTCTAGTTTTTTTTTTTTTTAACTAGTTAATTGTTTTATTTTGTTGAGACTCTAAACTTACCTTAGATTCATGTTTTTATTTGTTACTGAGATTGGGCTAGAACAGTGGTTCTCATCTGGGATCAATTTTGTCCTTCAGGGGATATTTTGGAAGATCTGGAGATATTTTTTATTGTTGTACAGAGAGTTGAAACTGGCTTTTAGTGGAGAGAGGTCAGAGATGCTCTAAACATCCTGTAATGGAAAGGATATCTTCCAAACAAGAATTATTTTGTACAAATGTTAATAGTGCCAATATTGAAAAACCATGGACTAGAGAATCCTAAGGGTCCTAATAGCTCTGAAATTCTGAGATTCAATTTAACTGAAGAGACATTCACTGAATCCTGCGTGCCAAGTTACTATGGTCTTCCATTGGTGTACCAGTGGGGAAACACTCTCCCACAGCATGGACATACACTATGTGGCACCTCGCCATGTGTACGGCCATTGATCTGTGCCAACCAGACAATACGCATTCAGAATTCTGAAAAGAATAGAAGACCTAGGGTCAGCCACTCTCATACTACAAGGAAATCAGTGATTCATTCTCTGACATAAGTAAGAGTAAGCTAAGAACTGTTTATAGCTAGCCTCATCATTCAGGCGTACTTTGTATTCCATATTATTAGTAACAAATTATACTCAGCATCCTGTATTTATAAATATAATGTGCATCACATATACGGAAAGAAAAAATGATCAAGGGAAAAGAAAAAGTGGACACATTGGGAGCAAAATGAACATTGCTTATGCATGTTGGAATCCATGGCAGTATTAGAAAATAAAGCTATTCCGTGCCATTGTGCTTGACAATAAGGCAACATTTTATGAAAAAATCATAAAGGTAGACATTTTTCCAGGTCATAATTGTGAGTAGTGTTATAGTAAATATGTGGAACAGAAGCAGACCACCTAAAGACTAGTATTTTCAACTCTGGATGCTATATATCTGAAGGACAGCTATTGACCTCAAGTGTTAAGATGCTATATATCTAAAGACTAGTATTTTCAACTCTGGATGCTATATAACTGAAGGATAGATTTTGACCTCAAGTGTTAAGAAAAGTTTAAGGAAAATGCAGCCAAAAAATACGATAAAGGATCTGGGAATTATATTTTATGATGAATGAATGAAAGAATAAAAAAATTAAATGAAAAATTTAAATACATTCAATGTATATAAATCTACATACATTTGGTAATACGTACATATCTTTGTACTTCAGGAATGTGATTCTGCATAATCACACTTGAGACATATCGGTTATGTCATGTAGATCAGATTAATTTTCTACATTGCTTGGAGATCTACTAAGTCAAGCACAGGGAAGGGACTTCAACTCATGAAAAACAGTCAGAATAAGTATCCCTGGATGGAGAGTAAATTTGCCATTGTCAGTTTCCTACATATATTATGCTGCTAACTGGCATTGGTTTTATGCTTACGTATATTTATTCTTACAGAAATGAATCAGAAAGACTGAAGGAATTCAAATAGATGATGTATGGTTTGGATAGAGAATCTAAAGTACTGAAGAACTTTATCATAGGATGATATCTTAACAATGATTTTTAGCAATAGGAAATAAAATCGAGGGAAAAATTTTTGGGTCTGAAATCCAAGTTAATAGTGTCCAAGGTAACAGGATGGGAAATTCTACTATGGATCATTATTCAGTGATGACATTTGAGGACAAGCTACTCATTCTGACAATAGAAATAAGAATACGCTTGGAAAAGATGTACACTTGTTTATATTATCTCAATCTGTAGCCTGATGTTTTCTGAGATGTTTCCTTTTATGCCAATACTTGGCAATAAGTAAGCCACATATCCATAATTTCAGATGATCTGTTCTTCCAGAGGAAAAGTTTTCAGAATGCATGTCAGATTTTTCATCACAGTCTATGTACTAAACTCTTCCCTTTCATTAGCC